TATAAAATTCTATTCTATAAGAAATGTTCTATGAAAAGGGGGCTTTGAACATGAGGAAGAGTGGAATCTCATGGCAACACTAGTCAATAGTACAAGGATTCAATACTACTGGTCAAAGTCGCTTCCCCTCACTCAGAAGGACTGCCTATAATTAACCCTTTATATAGATAACACAAAATATAGGGCTGCTATTTTTCCTGTCTCTCAAAATTGGCTTTATAAACAGGCTGCATGGTCTTATTTTTCAGACTGGGAGAGTGATACAAACAAAAAATTAGTGATTTCCCTAAGTATAAATACGAAAGGTTTGGCAGTTATGAGGACCAATTCATTATTTTCCTGATTCAGTCTCTAAAGTTCTATTATTAGATCCAATGACTCTCAAAAGGGCCCTAGATTTTATTACAAAATTTCTGCCTCTTGAGCCAAACCTACTAGCTAAGCAATGGGTTTAAGTTGCCCACTTCCAAGTCTTTTTTTCTTTTAGGTAGTTGGGTTAAGGGAGACTCACCAAAACTGAAAACAGTAGAAAAGTTAAAAAGAAAATAAATTTAATAGACATGCTATTAATACTGCTATCTTTTCTAACTAAGAGACATGTTAAATAAGAAAGATTGTTTGGGGAATGTTAATGATAGGAGATGAAGCAAATTCTAGAAAAATATGATTTATTTTTGGTCTATAATCTTCAATTCAATAAAATAAGATTTATTTTTGCTCTTCAGCTGAGAAACATATGAATTCGTTTTTGAAAGTGTCATTATCTAACATTACTATAGTACAATTTGAATTCTTCATTAACAGCCCAATAAAAGAAATAAGTAGTATAAAAATATGGCCTGTTATAGAGCTGCAGAAGTGATTGGTTTTAAAAGATTCCACAATCTTAATCCACTTTTTTACTTTCATCTTTCATTGTAGTGATTTTTTAAGGCAATTATATGGCTACTGTACATACAAAAAAATTACAAAACAGATATTATAGTATATACATTTTATAAAACATATT